TCGGGGTAGAGGTGTGCTGAGGAAGGCAGGGCTGAGCGCTGCCCCGTGGCCCTGCGTCCCCAGGTCTCGGGGTAGAGGTGTGCTGAGGAAGGCAGAGCTGAGCACTGCCCCGTGGCCCTGCGTCCCCAGGTCTCAGGGTAGAGGTGTGCTGAGGAAGGTAGGGCTGAGCACTGCCCCATGGCCCTGCGTCCCAGGCCCTGAGCTCACATGCTGTGTGCTTTCCTCATTGTGTCTGCGTCCTGTTCCTGGCCTGCAGCCCCCAGAGGGGCTGACGGCATGTGTGTCTGCCCTGCCTCGTCCTGCCCGCCTAGTTCCCAAAGGGTCTGAGGAGGCCACAGAAGTGGCTGTGGGCATGCTGTGGCATGAGCTGAATAGGACAGCCCTGTGGAGTAGGGGAGGGGCCGCGAGACCCTTACCACCAAGGACAGATGCAGCTGAGGCAGGATGGGGCCACGTGTGAACTGGAGATCCATGGCCTGGCCACGGGGGATACCAGGGCAGGAAAGGACCTTGGCCAGAGCTCGGTCCGCCCAGGAGGTGAGGGTCTGTGGGCTCCATCCCTCTACCCAGAGCTCATGGCCTATAATGGTCCTGGTCGTCTGTGTGGAAGGCACAGACCCCTGGAGGCCGCGCTTGACTCCTGTGGAGCCGGGACCCCGCCTGGAAGAGCCGGCAGTCCAGTGAAGACACAGCCGCCACATTGGGGGCCCAGATGCTCAGGACCTTCTGAGGGCCTGGGTCACTTCCTACAGGGGACACAGGCAGAACAGAGACAGGGCGAGGCCCCCACCCTGTGTCCTGGGGTGGGTCACAGGAGCAGCACCAATGGGAGGCTTCAGCACCACCGGGAGGGTAGACCGTTGGTTCCTCTTAGAGGAGCAGCTGCCTCATGAGCGCAGGAGCCTGGCACTGCACCTGGTGGGCCCTGGGTTCCGTCCTCATGCCAGCTCACCCTCCTGCGACAAAGGTGGAGTATTTTAGGCAGTGGAGAGGGTTGTGGGTCCAGGGGCAGGTGCCCCCAACATGGCACGATGTCAGCATCTCTTCAGAGGGCTCTGCCTGCAGCCCCCACGCCCACACTGTCTCGGACCTCACACCTGCAACATTCACTGGGCAGCCACCACAGGTGTGGCTCAGAGGTGTGTCACAAGGCCGCAGCGCCTCAGAACAGACACTAGCCTGGGAGGAAGCTGCTCCCACCTAGAACTCAGCAGTGCTCTTGTCGATGGCAGGGTGGCCAGCCACAGGTTGCTGAAGTAAGAGTCTCCTTGGGAAACGGGGAATGTCCCTGGTTGAGGGGAAGCCTCAGCGGTGGCCGGTGCCCGGTCCACCCTCAGTGTCCATGCCAACTTAGCTTCTCCTAGTGTTAAGTATTCAATTGTGTCCCCCAGCCTACCCCAGTAAATGTGGTCTTGTTTGGGGAAATGGGATTTTTCTTTGCAAATGTTGTCGGTCAAGTTATAGAAGTCATTCCCAGCAGGGTGGGTCCTAGCCCTAATTCCTTTCAAGTGACTTCTTATAAAAGAGAAGGACAGACATGGAAATAGAGTCACACACAGGAGGGTGATCTAGTTACAAGCCACATGACGATCGATCGGTCTACAAGGCATGGAACGCCAAGAAATGCCTGGGGCTACAGAATCGGAAAGCCACAAGGAAGGCTTTTCCCTCAGAGCCCACAGAAAGAGATCCTGGCCCGGCCAACACCCTGCTGTCAGACTTCACTCTCTGGGATGAAGAGATGATAAATTCCTGTTCTTTAAAGCCCCCACCTTGTGGTGTTCGCTGTGGCAGCCAGAGGATGCTAAGACCTCTTCTAAAGGATGCTGAGGAGGGGACTTCTGTGCTTTCACAAGGCCACATGTGACTATTTTACCCCAAAGATGCCCTGAGCTGCTGCCCTGATGAAGGCCCCAGCAGAGGAGGGACTGGGCACATGGCTTCACCCTCTGCTGGCAGGTCGGGTGGGGCACATACTGCAGCTGGGCTCCGCATGCTTTCCCGTTCATGCGTGCTCCATGCTGCCGGGTTGGCCTGCTCATTCATGCACGCGTTTCTTTGTCCTTTCAACCTGTACGTGGCAGGGCAGCTGCAGGCCAGGCCCTGCCCGTGCGGAAAGTGCAGTGCACAGCAATGAGGCCACCTGTGTGGCCCCATGACAGAGGACGGGTGGGTCCCACCTCTCCTCCAGCTGTGCTCTCCCAGCTTAGGGTCTGTCTGGAGCGTTCCCAGCCTCTGGGGAGCAGCAGGGGTGCAGGAGTTGATGCTAGAGCCATGGGGGTGGGAGTTTTAGGAGGCTTTCTCCATTCTCCTGCTACCTGTGCTGGTCAGGAACACGGGGCACCCATGAAACATGCAGGCCACTGAGGGACCATGACTACACTGCAGTGTGAGCTGAGCAAGGTGGCCCTGTAGAGTTGGGGAAGGGCCCTGAGACCTGAGGCAGAGAGGGCCACGTAGGAGCTGGAGATCCGTGGCTGGGGAGACATCCCTCTGCTCACCTCCTTGGCCTGCTCGCCACAATCCTGGGCTGTCTCTGTGGTGTCTGCATGAGAATTCCCACCTCCTCTGTCTTCTCCACGGACCTTTGCTGGGGTGGCTCAGCCCAGCTTCACGTGCTCCTCCTACCACACCGCTTCCCACACCGCGTGTCCTGCTTCATTTGATTTCTTTGTTCTCTCCATAGTGCATGCGTTTGTGCGTGTCTGTGAGCTCTACTCAAAGTCTTCCAGGCAGTCTGATGTTCTCATGTCTGTCTGGCCCTCTCAGCCCTGCCAGCCAGATTCATACAAGGTCTGAAGAGTGAGGAAGCCACAGAAGGGGCCACAACCACAATGCGGTGTGAGCTGAGCAAGGTGGCCCTTGTGCAGTGGAGGAAGGGCTCCGAGACCCTCAGTGCTGGGGACAGATACAGCCTGAGGCAAGACGGGGCTGTGTGTGAGCTGGAGATCCGTGGCCTGGCTGTGGCAGATGCTGGGGAGTACTCGTGTGTGTGCGGACAGGAGAGGACCTTGGCCTCGCTGACCGTGAGGGGTAAAGACCATGTGTGGCCATGTGGATCAGTGGAGTGGTACCTGCACCATGGTGTCCCATGTCACCACCTTCTGCCTTTATTTGTGCCAAGGACCCCATGAGACTTCACGGGTATCAGTTCTCCATCTCACTGGAGTCTCCTGGGTTCTTCCAGCTACTCAACATCTTGACCAATAGATGTCATGATGTTCATCTTCATGAAGCTCAAGTCCATCCCTCTTTGTTGTCTGTTCTCCTCATGACCATTTGCTTCCCTCACCATCTGTTCATTTGTTTGCTTGTCCAACCTGTTGCTCCTTTGGAAGTTTATATATTTCTTTGGGGGTGTCTGTGTCCTGTACACAAAATCCTCCAGACAGTCTGATGTTCTCCATGTCCATTTGGCCCTCACAGCCCTGCCAGCCAGATTCATACAAGGTCTGAAGAGTGAGGAGGCCCCAGAAGGGGCCACAGCCACGCTGAGGTGTGAGCTGAGCAAGACGGCCCCTGTGCACTGGAAGAAGGGCTCTGAGACCCTCAGCACTGGGGACAGATACTGCCTGAGGCAGGAAGGGGTCAAATGTGAGCTGGAGATCCGTGACCTGGCCATGACCGATGCTGGGGCGTATTTGTGTGTGTGCGGGCAGGAGAGGACCTCGGCAGCGCTCACTGTGAAGGGTAAAAGCTGTGTGGCTACGTGGATAGTGGAGTGGTGTCTGCACCATGGTGTCTTTGTCACCACTTTCTGCCTCCATCTGTGCCAAGCCCCGTGTGGGACTCTATGGATGTTTGTTCTCTACCTCACCAGGGTTCCTGGGTTCTCCCAGCTCCTCAACCCTTTGATCAATAGATGTCATGATGTTCATGTGGCTGA